TTTTTATTCAGAGTCAACAGTTTGTTTTGATAATTATACTTGTAAGTTGTCAATATACTTTGGTATTTTGTAGCATGTGCTCATTTACTTTGTCATTTATGGTATATTTCAACGGGTGTAACTCATTTGTTTATTGGTTGAGTCCATTTATGGACTTAGAGATTGATTATGTTTAGAAGAATTCAGATCACTGATCAGATATCTTTGTGTTTCGTTATTTATTAATTTATTTTATCATTAATAAATTTTACGTCAAAAAAGTTAAATTAATTATCAAAAAGCTCGACTATATATGTAGAGAAAATTATTATTTTTACGGTTGTTTGAAAAATTTTAATTTACTGCTACTTTTTTACTTCCCAATCTGCAAGAGCAAAAAGTTTAATTTTCACAGTGTAAGTCTACTTTTTGACTTCTTAATGCTTGTTTTAAAATGACCCCCTTATTATTTAAAGAATTCTGAAACGTGACTTACTAGTGGGAAACGGGAAATTTTTTGACGTAATTTGACGCCTGCGCAAAATGATTTGCTAATCAGTTGTATAAAAATTAAAAAATGAAGCAAATTTTTCAGAGTAGCATGTTTTCTGAATTTAATTTATTTTTAGTAACTTATAAATGCATTTTGTTTTTCGATATTTATGTTATGTCACTAAAAGTCATAAAAATTCTGTTATATTTTGTCTTTGTTTTGTTTTAAATCGGTCGTGTTTTGACTTTGTGATTTATATATGTAGCTTAAATGCGTAGTACCTACCATAACTTTTGAAACTATTTAACTTATATCTTTTAAACATTAACTTATTTTATATAATAATTTTTTTTTGGCTTTTTCCATATAAAATTAAGTTTTGCAATTTTTGATTTTTTTATTTTAAAAAGTGTTTCATGCAAACGAATTTATGCTTAAAGCTTACTCAAGTTTACTATTAAATTCCATTTTCAAGATTACACGTTTGTTGCATATTTTCTAAGATATAAAAGGCGGCTTAATCTAGATGAAATCAACTTGAGACCTTATATATTATATATTCTAAATCCCCGCTGCAAATAGGTGATATATGGTATTATATTTTTCAATGTATGCAGCATAAATTTTTGCTTGATTGATGTCAAAAATATAATAAATGTGATCAGCTGAAATATTTTTGATAGCAGTTTTGGTTATACTATGAAATTATACTAAGCTATAATAATACTGGATTTACGGATCGGAATTTTTGATTGCAAAATTTCTATGCATTGTTAAAAGTGTACATTAATCAGTGCGATGAAAATTTAATCAGCTCATTTAAATTTAGTAATGTCGAAATTTTTAAAAAATTTGAAAAGTGTTCTTTACAATTTAGATGGTTTTTAACGTTGTCTTCAATTTCTAATTCATTTTTTCGTGTTTTAGGTAGTTATTTCATTGGAAAATAGAGGAAAGCACATATAATTGGTAATGACAAGTGTATGGCGACGAATACAACAGTCGAATAAGAAATCAGCTAAATATCGTTTCACCATCACGCCACAAGAATTATTAATATTATGTTCTTCAAAATGGCATCCTCAATTTGTCTGTATAACTTGCATGCACAGGTTAGTAATTTTAGAATTAATGGCTAGTTTTAATTTAAGACCCTAAAAAATCTTTATTGTTTTTATAGCATTTTTTATTTATTGTAGATTTGTTTCAGGTTCTGATGAAGACAATATTTATAGTACAGTGCTAAGTCACTGAAGATTTTACTAAGCTATCTTACATTATTTATTACTTTTAGTAGTTATTTTGTTTTGATAAGGTTGAAGAAAAAATTGGTCATTAAGTTCAAAACCATGTGAGATAATAAGTTGTAAAACTAGAAAACTGCAGTTTTACTGATCAGTAACAGTTGTTTCATATTTGTGGTACTTGTTAAAGTAATAGAATCATAATAACTAATTTAAATCTTATTCAAGTATTTCTGCAAAAATTTGGCAGTCATTTTCATAAATCTACCTCAAGTATTCCATAGATATCAGAAAGTTGCTCAGTTTTGAAAAAATTATTGCAAATTTAAAATTTCAAATCATGTGAATAGAGAGTGTTCTCTAGCTAATTTAGAAGACGTAAAGTAGAAGGACGAGTACGGCGCTGGGAGGGTAGCATTAGCGATCCATGTCGTGGTTTAATCGTCTGGCCATCGCAGACACCGGACCCGTTACTTTTCGACACAACTCTTTATTGTGAAGATGAATTGACTCATCAATTTAAGGACAAGGAATGGATTTTATTAGTTGAAGAGTGTACTAGGAAAGGCAAACGCAAAGCAATTGCCGCTGTTAATTTAAATATGTCTCTTTTTGTTCAAGTTCGTTCTTTGCATTATCATAATAATATAGTACCAGCAATTTCTTTTATGATTATAATTTTGTTTATCCACTTACGCCCATGTAAGTATCATCCCGTTTTTGGATAATTTTTTCTTTATAAATATAAATGCCAAGCTTTGAAGAGCTGGTTAAATAGCTGTTATTGGTGTCTGTGTTTGTTCGTTTTTATGTAATATCAATTTTAATAGCTAAGAATGAAAAGCTATATTTACTTCTTTTTATTATTGTTTATACTCTTATTGCAGAGTGTAGAAACAGTGGCTGAGCTAAAATTGAAATTGCGACCATTGTGGCCAGAATTACTGCAGTGCTCAATGCAAATTTTGATATCATCAGTACTTATCAGCAGTGAAGAGATGAAGTAAGCTTCCATTTGGTTTTTGTTAAAGGACTATATATTTTCTAGATTATTCTCATTTACAAAAAAAAAGCAATCACCGTCCTTGGAAGGAACTGATTTTGAAAGGAGTTATAGATTGCAATAAAAGCATATAAGTTTAGGATTTGATTTTTCAGTCACTGGTGAATTTATTTATAATTTCTTAAATTCCTTGTTCTTGTTAAAATTTAATGAGGGTTTGACTAACTTATTATGCCACTATTTTTTTTTGAGAAATTACTTTTTTTAGTAATATTGATATAAAAAGTGAAGTGTCAAGTATCAGCGGTGGACATGGAGTTAGTATCGCAGCTGATGCTGTGGAAAGTGAACAGCATACAAGTAATGTCAGAGTAGGTTAGTGTTTTCTGAATTTAATATAAGTATTGGATGCTGAATTTTCATTCCAAAAAATTTTTCTCATTTTTGAAATTTTTACCTCAGTTTTTGGCGTAAATGTTTTTACCATTGTATCAGAAATTGAAGCAAAGATGCGCTGAATAAAATAGCGTTATTGTATCAATAACATCTTTTAAGAATATCTTAAACGTTGTTCCTGATCATAAACCGTAGCATTTCCTTATTTCATATTTACCGAGTCCTGTTCAGATGTCTGACA